AATGGCTCCTATAAAAAAGCAACTTTCGTTGAGCACATCTGCTTTACCTACTAATAGAAAGTAAGTAAAGTATTTTAAAATACAGTATTTAAGTATAGAAAGAATTTAAAATAAGTCACTTTAATAAATTCCGATAAGAAAATTAAATAAGTTTTAATTTAAGGTTAAAAGTCATCTCAATAAATCTACATTTCGGGTTTTACATCGTATAAATTATATAATAGGCCTATATGTTTAAAATACAGATGTTTTATTCGCATTTCAAATATTCAAGTGTTTGTTATTACTTTAAACATTTTTTTATCGTTATGTACAGCATTATCTAATAGATAAAAATGGCAACGATTTAATATTTTTTTGCATGAAGTAAATTTTTAACGTGTAGGCAAAGAAAAAACTGAAGAATAGTACGATTCAGCAAGAATTACGATTTGTTAAAATTTCAAATATCGATTAATAAACTTTTAAAATATAAATTCATTATTTTGTTCCCCTTCGATTATCATTTTTTTTTGTAGATAAACCTACTGAGTCGACCTAATTTCTTATGTAGAATGGATTCTTCCGTTTCACAAATAGTTTTTATGTATTTTTATTGGAATTTTTTGTTAAAATGATCTAATTCGTTTCTATCTCAAGTTGAAATAAGTCGAAAAAGGTTAATTTCAAAATCATTTTGGTCATTCGAGATCCAGATGGTGTAAAAATAACGGGTAAAAACACTTTAGAAGCTATACCTTTAGTTCTGTTGTTAATTTTTTTATCATCCAAATTTCAAAGATTTATTTACGAACAGAAATAAGGATATTGAAAATAAACTATTTTTTCAACGATCATTTAAGCGATCGTTAAATATCAAAATATCAAATTAACGAAATATATTTTCTTATATAAGATATAAATAATATCTTAAATATCAAATTAACGAAATATATTTTAATGAGAATGGAAATTAGATTCGTTTAATAACATTTGTTTTCAAGTATCTTAATGTCAAAAAGTCCATTAAACGTCCTCTACCATATATTCAAAATAGAAGTTTGCGTGGAAAATCTTATTAAATATAAGAGACCTTGGGCAATTTCCGACAGATTTTACAAATATCTAACTCCGAAGCCAAGAAAATGTTTCCTTTATCAGATATTTGACGAGAAATTGTAGGTCTAAAAGTAGGAAAAAACAAGTCGAAGCAGTTTGGGTCATGGCTAAATTCTCAAAATATCCAAATTTATCCTTCAATAGTCGTTCGAATTGTGCAGACAATGATTTAAGGAGAGATAGGAAAGATGGAAAATAGGCTAAGGAAATCTATACATATTTCTGTCAAATAAATTTTAAAATATCATGGTTTTGGATTGCCCATTAGGCACGTGAGAGCCTATGGACCCGGATCTCGGGGTACCAGCTACGATCATTAGTTTATAATATCGTAAAATTATAAAATTATGTAGAGGGGCCTCCCAATCTTCTGTGCCTAGAGGCCCACGAAGGTCATAATCCGTTAATGAATATCTTATTAAAGAATTTTTGTTAAGATACTATTATTATTTATATCGAATTTCTCTTCGCGATTATATTAGTGCCAAAAAAAAATGAAAGAACTCATTTAATTTGGCAATTAAAGAGAGAGAAACAACATATAAAGTTGGCATTATATTATGTNTATATATTTATTTATTTATTTATTTATTTATTTATTTATATAGCTGATTTAAAATGATTTAAAATATGGGATGTAAATTTTATTTATATTCATCCCATATTTTAAATTAAATAAATAAAAACATTATGAGTTTATCTGTTATATTTAGCTTTTCGAATTATTTTATTTGCTCAATTTCATTCAAATTCCCTATATTCCTTTTGTAAGTCTATCGAAGTTCTGTTTGTTGTACAGTAGTCTCATAGGCTTTGTGCATTAAAAGCAAAAAACGACTAACTGATTTCTTTTCTCTTTATTATTACTTTTCCTAGCAAAATAGAAATTCCCTTACAAGAGCGTTTCACTCTGTTGGGTGCTCTATGTCACAACAGAGCGTGCATCGCGTCAGCATTCCTACTTTTTTCATGTTCTGTTTAAAGGTTATTGAAGCGAACTGCCACTGAGAGAAAGTACTTGAATTTGAATCTGAACTTTATTCCAATTGAGTGATGTTCTGCACTATCTTTTCACTTATTTGGTTTTACTATTTAAAAATGTATACATCTGTACAATTACAATTTTTTTCTTTCTTTCTTTATATTCTTTTAACTTTCTTAATGATAACTTTTTGAAAAAGTGATGCATACTACATTAAAAATATAATTTCTCGACTTTTATGAGAATATAATGTGATTTTATGTTATTTTTTCTATCCTTATCGATTTATTTTTTCCTTCGCTAATATTTTAATGTTTTTAAAATAAAATACATGTATAATAATTTCTCGAGAATTGCAAAATTATTTTTTCTTCTAGTTAAAATAAAATGTAATAATAATCAATTTGAAAAATAACATTATTTGGCGTTTCAAATTAAATCCTTATGTAAAAATATAGAATTATATAAAGATAATTCGAATACATAAAAAATAAAATCGTACTGTACTTAAAATATTACGTAAATTTTTTTAAAAAAGATATTTTGAATAATTCTGAAATTAAAAATTGATTTTTAAAACAAATTTTAATTTATTTATAGTATCTAAAGTATAATGTTTTCTTTTTGACTTATATATTTAGCGATTATTTGCAAGAATTTGACTTACTTTTAAGTCAAATTTTTGCAAATAATCGCTAAATTCTTATAATTACATTTGATATAATCATGCTATAATTTATGCGAAAGTATAAATAAAAACAATGATATAATTATATTTTGTTACAATGATGATATAGACCTAAACAAACCGATTATGTATCATGATATTCATAAATGTATAAATGAGAACAAGATACAAAAAATATAATATAATATAATTTATTCTTTATATATGTCAAATATTTAATAAACTAATTATAATTTCTAATTTTTTTACATTCACTATAAAAGAAAATAAGTAAATATTTGTATGTGATCACACGCTAACATTTGCTAACTACCCTACTTTTAACATTTTTCTGTTACTTGTTACCTAAGTTACGGCTAATAACATTTTCATTTTAAAACGCAAAAATTAAAAAAAAAAAACTTAATTTAGAAATACGTTATTTAATTATATGCTTTAAAAATTATCTTTATAGTCTACAAAATGCATTCCTCGTAAGGAAAGAAAAAACCATATCTCATTAAAACCTTCAAATATAAAAATAATATTATAGGAACGCAAAAATTAAAAAAAAAAGTAACGCGACAACTTCTATGAGCACATAAATGACAAGGTTTAGTGCAGGAGCCAATTGGTCGTTACATTTGTTTAGTCACGTGACGGGTGTTGTGTCGTAGTTTCCATAGTTACCAACTAGTGTATCCCGAGACAATCGGAGACAGCTGTACTGCTCCTCGCTTATGACTTCAAATGGATGGGTCATAAAGGGTAAAGGTATTTTTTCTTAATATCTAGAGTAAATACTAACGTAGGAATAATTTTACGTAAATCGGACGGTGTTAATTATTCAAACTTTATCTATTTAGAGCAGCTTTAGATAGTATACACGTGTATAGTATGAGACGGTAATTTATTAAATACGCTGAACAAATAACTATAGTTGATGTAATAAATTACATTTTTACGGTTTTATCCAGTTTATTTCGATAATATTATCTCGAAATCGATTATGTTATTTACTCAATTATGGGTTAAGGTTTGCTGGAAAGTATGTCTCGACAGAAAAACCCAAAATGTCTAGATATACCAGCTCTACTTACATATAAATAATAGTACTAGTCTCGAGATACGAAATTATTAGATAAAACTAGAAATATAAACCGTGGAGAAGTTTCAAATTTTATGACGTCGATTGATGCAAAATTGTAAGAAATTTCGTTACGACAATTATTCAGAAATTACGAAAAAATAACAAAAAATCGAAAACGAAACAGTCAAAAACGTAACGCCGTTTAATTTCCGCCGGTTAAACTTGAAGATAATTTGCCTATTAATATTCTATTTGAATTATGGAAATGACTCTAATTTTAAAAATTTGCACGGGTTATCCGTACAAATTTCTAAAATTGCACGTTTTAAGTATAATTTCTAAACCGAAATTTAACCTAGAAATTGAATATCACATCTTAAGTAACTTAAGCTTAGATACTTGAAATGATTTCAGACGAATACAATACATTTCGAGACGAATATCGATAATGCTATTATGGATAGACGAGAAACAGTAACTATGTTGAGAGCTTTCTTTCTTTTACAAATTTCAAGATCTATCAAAGATAAGAGAATTTATGAATTCAGGTTAAAGCTCTTAATTATAACTCTAGTTTAAAAACATATTTACTACATTAAAACTATTTTCTTGCGATAATAAATCAAGTTAATGAACACACCCCCTCGAAAAACTCTTATACCGGATACTTACATAAAATTGATTTATCATTGTGTTATAAATTTACGATTGTTTACGCACCTAAAGATAAGATTACCAAAAACGAAATTTAAATAGTTTTAATTTTTACCAACGCATTGAATGGCAACACGTAAAAAAATCTATAATAGGTTATGCCAACTAGGTACAGGTAGGTCTATAACAGTCAAGACATATCTATACGAGGAAAATAATAGTTGATTAATAGATAAACTTTGGCATTTCTGAAGGTTTCAAACACAATATTTTCAAGGATTTAATGGATTTTTGTGTTGTTTTTAGTTGATTAATTATTTATACGAATGACAAAAATTATTTTCTTAAACTTTTTACAGCTTTATAGACTTCGAATACCCGAATCGAAAACTAAAGAAAAAGAGCAAAAGCAATCAATGGTGAGTTGAGTTTTTTTTTTAATTTATTTCGTATGGTATCCAAGAAAGTTTTGTCACGATTAAAATATCGATTTTTTTTAGCAATAGAAGTAGGTAATTAGTTGCTGCAAAACTTTCTTATATTAAAAAAATGATAATTCCGTAAAGATAATGAATGCGGTTCTTTTCTGGTATGAATTAAAGAGTGACTTCCATAATAGCTAAAAGTCAATGGTCTCCAATATTAAAATGGGTGATGTATTATCTTGGTTGTGGTCCACGCCTTAATAAAATGAGGTAAATATTTCCTCTCGAAAATTAGTAGATTCTTTGCGTGACTCCGACAAACGCTGCTTAAAGTAGCAAATTTTCACGTAACCAATTGATTAAAAAAAACTCGTCCGTGGACTAAAACGTCCTTATCGCTAGGGAAATGAAAATTTATCGTGCAAATTTCCATTTCTTTACAGATAAAACGAAAAGCTTCTCTCACGTTAAAAAATAATTCGTAGTTTCATCTTCTATAATCGGAATAAATTATAAATAAGTAACCGAAAGAAAAAAAGTATGGCAACGAACAAACAGGTTCTCTCTATATCGCCATCCCTTAATCTGTAATGGGTCCTCCCAGTTTAGTGCCATCTGGCGAGCATCTCGGCCGTCAATTGTTCTCCCTCATCTTTAGTAGATCGGTAGATACTTGATAATTTGCTTTTCATCCAGACATAGAAAGATTATGATACTTTAATTAAAGTTTTTTATGGCCGAATTAATTAAGGGTAAGTTACGTTTTATCGTATCCATGTCGTTTAAATCTGTGTTTGTTTTTATAGGCGTGGATATTCCGATAGATAATATATTATCATCTGCGATATCGTCCACTTATAAATAGCTAAAACCGTTGATTTAATGAGAATTTCGTTTTATTTTAATTAGAAAAAAAATAAATATTTATGTAAATAGTTTTATTATACAAACGGATCTATTTAATCTTTAATTATGTTAATAATCGATATTTATTTGATGCGATGTTTTATTATGATGTAAGGAGTGGCTTCACTGTCTAGCATCTTCTAATTCCGAGAAAGATGCTGTTATCTTGACGTCTCATCCTCTTTTTATATTTTATATTTCAAATTCTCTCCTTGAACTAGGTTGGTGGCATTTTAAAGCAATATTTTATGATGCTTGATTTATCGGTTTTGTAAAGTGAAGCGGATTGAATGACTCAACGGTTTCTCCCTATAATTATCATTAGTTATCATTTTTAAGACTTTCTAATTTAAGTGAATTATCATTCGAAAACTCTTATTTATTCTATTTAAAATTATATTCGTCTGTATGAAAATTGGATGTTTCTTTCTGTCATTTAAACGAAACCACTTTTTACCAACACCTCCACACGTTCTACGCATCATTAGCTTCATCCTAATTTATTAAACTGCAGAAAGATAGTTACATTACTTTCAATAATCGTCTTTTGTACAGATGTTTAAAATTATACGTCTTAACCTACTTTTGTTTGATTTTATCTATTAAAAAAAAAAGTAACTTCGCCGCTTAATTACAGTGTCGAACGGAGAAGCGCAGCTACCGACCGACGTCTTTTTAATATAAAATAGCCGTTTAAAATAAATACTTATCGGATTTTCACGCGCAATAGGCGATCTCAAAGATGAAGTATTGTTGTTCTCAAGTTACTATAGTAACTAGTTAGTGATTATAATAAATCACAACACGACACATCTTCCTCCAATGCAATCACCTTGACGTCAAATGGACAGTCAATATTAACTTATGTTTAGCAATTGTTATGTAAGTATCTCACAATAGAATATGAAAATTTTGAAAAAAAGACTAAGGAATCGGTTGTAAGTCTTTCGTTTTTAAAATTATATACAAAATAACTAGCTTTTATTTTTCGATTTTATTTAATTACATTTTCCATTACTTGCAAAAGTTGTTTTGAATTAAAGCGCTTCCTGTAACTGAATATTATAAAGATAACAGTTACAAATATTAGAAATTCCGAACTTTAGTTGGATTTTGAACGTTTTAAGTTATTTGAATGCTTTAGAACGACGTAACATCTACCATTTTACTTCCTGTTAAATGACATTAATTGATCAAAGAGCAAAATTAGGCCAGGCAGGAGAAAGTTTCTAATTTTAGAGAGCAATCAAAGTCGAGATGCGTAATTTTTGTTTCGGTTCATTTCTACTAACGATACAATTTTTTTTATTATTTTTGCAAATTTCATTTCTTATTTCCATTCTCTAAAAATATTGTTGACCTTTATAACTTGTTGGCTCGGACGTCTTTCCAATGATAAATTATCGATGAATCGTCAGGGCGTGGTTTCTTAATATGAACGCAGATTGACCCCAAATTTTTTCTTAAAGTCAAATGTTTTTCTATTATCTTTCTTAAAAAATGACGCACTGTTGTGATTTATTTTATCAACTGTTTTTCAGAATGATGTGGACTAATTCATAGAAACTTTTTTTGCGCTTCAAATTTTATATTCAGAGTACTTAGAAATTGTATTTTATATTTATGGGAAATACAGTTTTTCTTTTTCAGCCTCCAACCGGACAAACGATGTATGAGCATGCCAAGTGTGACGTCAACCACAACAACAACCACAACAACTTCGCTGGTGACGTCACAATCACGACTGCTTCGTACGCATGACAAAAGGTTCCACAGGAGATTTCCTTCAGTAGATCGCAACGAACAGATCCTTAATTGTAAGTTTGATAGTTTACAGACTAAATGCATCCAATAAGATTTCTAGTAACAAAGTCGAGCTTTGTCTTAACTATAAACTTTGCTTGTTGCATCGTAAATTTCAATTTTAAAATTCATTTGACAGAAGCGGACGAAAAAGCTGTTTTTAGCCAAGTCTGTATATGTGAAATTTAAAAATATCCATCGTGTAAAACACTCTTTGTTTATCAATTAAAGTTGAAATATCATCCAAGTAATTGTCACACATAATTTAAGTCCCATAAATATTTATTTGAATGATTTTGTCGCAAATTACATGCATTAGATTAATTAAATCAATAGCCATTTTAGTATCATTGTTCATATATATCTGTACAATGAAATCTAGGTTTACCGAATACTGGATTAAACGGGTACATATCAGATAAACATTCAGTTTCAGCAATGTAATAGGACTATAAATATGTGTTTATCTTGAATAAACGGACATTGCATTCTACGACAACATACAAAAATTTCCTACCCTTCGTATATTCCAAAATCTGTGTAAAGCGGACAATACAATTGTACGCTTTAGTACTATAGTACTGTACTGTACATGTTTCCCAAAAATATCATTTTAAAAATATGCTTCTCTTCCTTGTCATTGTTTCACAGAATTTCATTGTATCCTTAAACTTGTCAGAGGAGGTTTCCATTAGAAATTTTAGATAATACTCCTGAAATCAAACATCGGTAAATTAACGTTGCCTTTTTTCCTTTTATAATGGGTTACCGTAAGCCCTCATTTACGCGGACACATCTTCATTTGGGAGTAAAAATTACAGTCTATATACTTTTTGTGAATTTCTTGTTTGTCCGCATTTCCATGAGTCGGATATTTTTATTTGCTCTGGCGGTAACCTACGTAAAAAATCCAGCAACGAGTTGAATGACTTTCCTGGCAAAAAATTAAAATTGTGGTGGCATCATCTGTTATAATATTTTATTTTAAAAACTTTTTATGTTATTAACTATTTCAAAATGGTAGAAAGCTTAATTTTGTGATAGAGATGAATTTTATTAAAAAAATTGTAAACGCTAATAATGAGTAAAATCTTTATTAAGTCCGATCCCAATAGAGATATGACACATGTCCCCCTATATCTTCTACTCCTGACCTTTAACCATCAAAATTCAAAAGCATCAATCCCCCTAATAAACAAACCTCCCTGCAAAATTTCAGAAATTTTCGACAAAAGACACAGGAGTTATGCTTCAAATTGGGTGAACAAAATCGTGCTCTCCACACATATATAAACATCCATATGTACAGAAAAAACCCGACTTTTTCTTTTTGCATTTCTCGATGTTTCAATGATCTCCTGGGTCCAAAAATGTAAAGATCTTGGGGGACATTTTTTGAACGATCGCCGTACTTTCCCTCTGTTAGTCTGTTTATAAGAGAAAGTATAATGGGAAGCTTTATCAATTGATAACAGCGTAGTGTTACATTTAGAATTCAGAAGCTGACTACCCGACTAATTAGTGGTCCAGTGATCCGGGTGAGCCATTCCTCGGGAATTTTTTGTGGTCGTCTCGGATATATCGGAAATCGTCTTCACCATTCAGCTCACCCCATTATTGGCCTGGTCGAAACCACGATGGGTATGGAAACAAAGCCCTGTTAGTAGTCACAGAGCAGAGAGAAGGAAGGAAAAACACCCCAACCAATTATATCGGCAATTGAGTAGCATTTCCACTTTCGAAATCACATGGATAATCAACAGTTTATTCATTTACATGTATTCATCGAAGCAAATATTTATTTGAATCACAATAGTGAATTGTTAAAATAAACCTAGTGATATATGATGAAACAGTGATTAAAAAGTGTGGATGACATACTCAACGGTGTCCCCAGACTATAAAAAAGAGTACGACACAAGCAATAAAAAAGGATACTGTAAAAAAACAACAAAAAAAAGGACATTATGCAAGAAGCTTCAAGCTGTCATTCAACGTGTCTGATCACAAGGTGACACTGATTGCAAACGGGGCTAATTTGGCCTTGAAAACAAGGAAACTTTCTTTATTTTCAAGGCCAAGTTTTGGTAAACATTCGGTAAACTCGTAAGTTTCATTGGACGATGAATAAAATATCGTTCTTTAGTTACTTTTATATTTGCGAATAGGCTAGAAGTTATGGATTTTTTGTTGTTTGTTGATAATGGAATTTGGGGACTCCTTGGGGATTAGGAAAACGGCAACCCATACGAAAAGAGGAATACGTTCTCCAATGTACGAACACACCTGCCTATACTTTCTGTATGCCACTTTTTAAAATTCTTTGCTACTAGGCATTTTGTTAAAGCTTCAAATCACGTTATTAAACGAAATAGTTTAATTGTAACTTATTGAGTAATAAGGCTTTCAAAAGTAAAACTCCCGTAGTTAGATTTTTTCAGGATCTCATGCTTAAGTCTGGACATCGAATTTAAGGTGTCATTATTTTATGTTTTTTCAATATGGTAATTATAAGAAAACAGGCATTAAGAAACTCGGCGAATTTTGAAAAAAGAAAGGGAAGAGGGAAAACAGAAACGGAATGAATTAAATGCGTCATGCAAATTGGCAAATATTTTCCTTGGGAAGTCTGGATAGCATAATCGATGCTGCCGCCTATCTAACTTCCAGTAGTTACAATTTTGAGTCCCCATTTCGTGCCAGATCTTTCATTGTAGATTTTTCTAAATTTTAATTCATTTATTTCATTGTAGATTTTTCTAAATGTTTTAAATTAAAATTTAATTTAAATTTTAATTATAAGTTACTAACTTATAATTAAATTTGGTACAAAATGACACTTAATAGGCTACCTATAGTGCTAAATTATGTTAATTAATTATCGGCTTAAAATGGCCTTTTTACTTCGACAATTCTTTAGATTTCTCTGATTTCTATCCTTATGACACATTCTTTTACAAAATAAAACTTTGTATCAATTATTTAAAAAATTGTCAGGTATTGTAAAATATAAAGCGATTTTTAACAGACATCTGACACCAACGGACAGTCTCCGGATCCAGTGTCCGTTAAACCGAAGTTCTACTGTATTTATTAACAGTGTGACGTGATTTTTAGTAGGGCTTATTTGCAGTGGCGTAGCGTAGTGGGGCGGCAGGGGCTGCCCGCCCCGGGCGGCACTTTTAGGGGCGGCAAAATTTCACAATAAATAATAATAATAATATCTTGTAAAAATTTGAACCATTTCATTTCATATTTTTGTCGCACCTACGATTAGGACCGATTGGACGGAATTTTTCATTACTTATTATGTGACGAAATTGAATTTTAGTCTTTTAAATTGAGATACCTAAATAAGGGGGCGGCGAAATTTTCCTTCGCCCCGGGCGGCTGATACCCACTCTGTGCCACTGCCTAATTGCATATTATTTTGATTATAAGGATACTTTTGGCATTATGAGGTTATTTATATATTTATAAATGTAACTTTTTTGACAGATTATTCATGTGCACTTCTTTCTGATATATTATTGCAAGGCCATTTGTACATCACGGAAAATTATTTTGCATTTCATTCTAATATCTTTGGACACAAAACAAAGGTAAATTTTATATTAGAACTTAAATAAATATGTTTTAAAATAGAATTTTAAGAATTGATATGTTGCGTCAGCTGCTGATTCCTATCAGTGATGTGGTCAAGGTGACAAAAGAAAGAACGGCTCGCATAATTCCTAACGCAGTTGGAGTCTATACAGGAGAAGGAAAGGTGAATTTAAATCTATATTTATAATAAGCAGGAAATCTGGAAGTTATAAATTAAAATTTGATATCAATTTTTGCAGTATATATTTGGTTCATTACTTTCTCGAGATGCAACCTATCGCCTGATGCATCAAATATGGATGAAAACAGCAGATGCGGTAAATTTATGAAAGTAATGATAACACTAATTAGTTTTATAAATTATAAAAATAAAATTAATGTTTTTTAGGGCTTAAGTTTGCCAGACGACACAGAGAGCGATAATTCTTCTCCCGCTCTCCAAGTAAGTTAATTGTGATATAATAGCGAGATTGCGGCTGAAGTTTTCACCTCTAAAACGTGAACTTCGAACGTTTATCTTGGAAGTCTAGAAGTTTGACAATGATATTTGGAACGTCGAGCATGCCCAAAACACAGAAAAATGCAGACGTTTAAGTTGAACAGAAGTTCAACTTAAACGTCTAAGTTAAGTTGAACAGAAGTTCAACTTAAACGTCTGCATTTTTCTGTGTTTTGGGTTAAAATTTTGGCAAACATTGCTTGGAGTTCAGACGTCAGACGTGTACTTCAGCTTGCGGTACAAGTTTGAAGTTTCGACTTGGGCCGCAACCTCTCTATTTAGTGGCATCTTATATTTAATTTATAAACAATCATTTTATCCTTAGAACATTTCTGAAGATGAAGATTCTGCGAGTGGAATATCACTCCAAGTATCGTCCGACGAAGTTACACAGATGATAACCGTATCACAGGAACATCCATCCACTTATTTAGGATCGCATCGTTCTTCTGTGGTGACAGCTGTGGATTCAGGATGCAAAAACGCAGACTTATCAGAATTATCAAGTAAATGTCAGTGGTCTCCAGCTAGAGGTAAGTAATATGAAATTAAATTTTATTATCTAGGAGTTCTTTATATTAAATTAATAAAATATTTTACAGGATATGCAAGAAAAATGGAAGATATTGTTAAAAATATTTCAAGGTAAATACCGATTGTTTTGTACATAACAGCATATTTTATTGAAAATTATCTTATAAAATTTCTGTTTTATTTAGGATGCCTCGAACATCCTTATTGCTTGTAATGTCAACAATGTTGTAAGTAATATTTTTCATTAGATAAAGCAATTATAGTTATTGCCTGTTACTTACAAGTATATATTGTTTATAGATTATTGATACTTTTTTTGTCTGCAAGCATTCTCATGTACAGAATTACTTTAGTTCATCATCGAATCACTGCTGCTGAGCATTATCATCCAGAAGCAGAAGAAAGGTGTCTGATTTTTCTATAAATTAAATTTATAGCCATTGGGAATAAATTAAATCTATTCTTATGATTTATGAATGAAATATGCATAAAAATTTCCCTTAAAAATAAACTTTTCAAAATGTTTTGCAGATTTCATCAATATCTAGAATTACAAAAGGAGCATCAAATAACTCTAACAGAAGAAGTAACTAAACTCACTAATTCGCTTCAACAACGTATTGATCAGTTAACACAAGTAAGTATTAAATTCTTCTTTTTAGAATTTTATTATCGTAATAGTAAATTATTTATATATATATATATATATTCCCAAACCTATTATTAGGTTCGCAAATCTTTAGAAGTACTCTTGACTTCTTCACGCTTATGTGAAAGTCCAGCTAAAAAACAAAGGTATTGGATGGAGCTTTTGTCACCATAAAATGTAAAATTGTTGCAAATATGTGTATATAATTTCTCACAAAGATTCATAGAATATTTTATGTTTATCAAGATATGAGTTCATATAGTTCTATTTTGATGTTAGAATAATTGTAATTAAATAGTTTTGTCCATGTAAATTACACTCTGCAGGTCAGCAAATTAAATGTTTATTTACTGAAGAAAGGTGTGTGTGAATTCATCTCAATTAAATTTCCAAAAGAAAAAAAATATATTATATATATATATTTAATGATCAAAGTATTTCTTTCGGCTTATATTTGTATATCATCTAATGCCACATTATAGCTTGATTAATACAAGCCATTTCAATTTGTGGTGCACTGCTTTATACATACCTGTCGAGGATTTTTTTATTGAAATCTTCTGCACATGGTAAATTTTTCCATTTGTTTTATAAAAACACTTAATGTAATGTTAAACGTTGTAAATAAAGTAATCTGCATAAATAGTTTTGTAATGAATAATAATTATTTATGGAAAAATATTGAACCAGTTCTATATATTTAAATTTTTAAATGCAAATTTGCAAGTGCCATATTTTAAATAATAAATAATACTAATGATTATAATTTAAAACTTAAAAAATTTTTTTATTACTATTCAACCATATTTGAATGCAATATACCACTAAAGTTTTTTGTAATACTTTATTATATTTTATTAATTTGAATTGTTATTTCACTTAAGCATATAAATCTTGATCCAATTGTATATGATATGGAATTAATGGAACAAAAGTATTGAAAATGAGTAAATGGTTAGACTTCAGTTCAAAAATAAGAAGTAAGTGGTATAGTTAGTATGATTTTGAATTGTGTTCACAATTAATAGATCCTAAAATGTAAAAATAGTATTTGATTTAATTTGTCTTGATATGGTAAATTAGAATATTTATTGATCAATTGTAATAAATATAGATGAAAAATAGATTTTCAGCATAATTTGAATATCTGATATCCATAAGAATTTTGTAGAATTCTGATATAAATATTTATTTCATCTACATAATTCTGAATATCTCTTACAATGGATTTACAAATATAAATAAAAGTTATAAAAGTTGGATGACAATTTTATTGTATTTACAAGAACTTAACAAAATGATTAAAAGTAATAATGCATACAGAAGATAAATTAACTGAAAAACATTAGAAATAGCATATTAAATTATTTTTTTCAGTATATATTTTGTGCTCTTGTAAATATATTATCATACGTATAACAATATTATTATATAATTGAAAATTTGAAAAAAAGTGTGACTATGCAATAACATTAAATATGCATAAGGAACTACAATCAAACATCTCCTGATCTATGCAAATGGTGCCAAGAATATATAATGAACAACTTTTGACTTTATAGAAAACAGATATAACTTATTTGATTTATTTTCACTTAGAAATTAAATACTGCATAATGTTTACTTTGTAAATTAACACTGTAACAAGTAAATCAGTTTTCTAAAATTGAACATTGTACAGAAAAGAAATTTGAACTGTAGTTAATGATTATCAATGTTAAATTATTTTTTAAACTAGAATATAACATATAAGTATATGGGAATTTGACTAAAATAATTTAATAAAAATTAATGCAAAGATTATATTTAAATAAGTTTTATTATTAAATTAACTTTTAAAAACTTTTTCTTAATGGATGAAAATGATTACAAATTGTGCTTAAATTATGTCACATTCACAATGATCTAATTTAAATGACATAATTTAAATCAATGATTATTTAGATCAGTGATTTAAATTATGTCATTAAATTATACCTGAATGTGAATCATATTTTATTTAAAGCTTGTTTTTAATTATTTATAATCAAAATAAGTGCTCAACTGAAAATTACTTTGATTTCAAAGAAACAAAGATGATAAAAAGAATATCAGTTCCTAAGTTATATTGAAATAAAGCTTAGCAATTAAGCTTATGATATTTCAATTTAGTTGTTTAATAAGTTTTACTATTAGAATCTTGATGGAATTTAGTGATAAAATTATAATATATTAGAAAATTTAGTAGGAATTATTATTTTTACATTTAATAATGAATATCAAAGATAGTATCTTTGCTATGATTTTTTAATGTAATTTAGTCTATATATTTTCAATAATTATTAAGCATTTTTCCATTTTCTATAGAATTGTCTGTGTTCAAATAATATAAATCTTCTATCATTTTTATAATTTCTTTTACTTCCTGACTATAGGAATAATTGTTTGATCTTGTCATATGTTTTAGTTTTTTCATTTTTGATTTAATTTGAATGTACTTGTAATTTAATTAAAGTAAATCTGGCAATTTTTTAAAGTACTATAGTTATTTAAAATTAAATTTAATTAATAATAATTATAAAATGCATATCCAACTATTGCATATTCATCACAAAAATAGTTTATTTTAAAATAAAGTGCCATAAAATTGCATTAAAATTGAGTGCCATAAAATTGCTCATCTATTAAATTATAGAACAAATAATAAAAAGTAATTGAAAATTTTTTAAAACTATACTTAGGCAATATTAAAAGTATAAGGATGAATTTTGATTCAATTTATAGAACGGAATTACAGATATCAAACAAAAGAAAAGAATAATTATTCAAATTTATGTTAACAGTTCAGATAAATTATTCCTTATAATTTCAAGCTGGAAAGTATTATTATACTTTATTTTATATATAATTTGATAGATTTTATTTATTTTAATAAATTGTAAAGTAATATGAACTAAAATATTTTAAAAAATTATGTGAGTAAAATAAAAATATGAAATTATAAATAAAATACTTTTTAATTTTAATTTTTAAATTAAAATTAAAAAGTATTTTATTTATAATTTCTAAAACATTTTATAATTTTTCATTTCTAAAACATTTTATAATTTTTCATTTCTAAAACATTTTATATGAATTAATTCAAATAATTTATTAAAATATCTATTAAGAATTTGGTTTTGACAATGAGACAAACAACAGAATTTATGGAGTATAATAAATTTAGAAAATTTGAAAAATTTTGTTTTCAAAAAGGAACTTTACATTATTCAAGTGTGNGGAGATAAAGACAAAAGATTTCATTTAAACCCTAATACTTTTGGTCTTGATTTACTTAGATTTTTTTTTTTTTAAACAGTTTTATAAAGATATTTTGTGAGGATAAATTTATTTTGATAGTTATTAAACTGAATGTTCACAATGAGATGGTCCTAGTTTTTCTTAAAGCCCTATGCAAGAGCTACTGTATATTATTGGAGGATTCCATGTTTTGTTATAGTTGCTAGAATTTTTTTTTATACATGGTTATTATTCACTCTTATATAATCTTCATCTGTCCTCATATGGAAAAACAAATCTATTTAAAAGACATAATTTTAGTATATTAATTGGTTAGTTAGTTGATCTAAATTGTATATTTAGGGTATCCATAGTATTTGTCTCTGTGACAAAGTACAGTAGATTTCCTTGAGTAAAAATAAAGTTTTTGTAGTATAAAGAGTATTGTTTGGTGCAGTAACTTATTGCTCCTTATATAGATTTCTGCATTTATATATTGCAAACCTTTTAAATAACAGTTAGTTATTAATTAAGTTATGGATTAACTATATTTAAATAAGTAAAATTCTAAATTAGTTAGCAATTAGTAGATCTTAAAAATATTAGTAGTACTTTTCTAAATTGTCATGATGATTTATCAAAAACTTCTTGTTACTTTTTAATAGAAGAGATGCAGCTATAAAAGGTTAAAGTAACCACATTCCTAGTAAAAATATGATTTCATTATTATTATTCTTTCAATTAGCAAATATCATTGTATGCCATCAACAATGAAATAATTCAAGTAACCAAATTATATTAAATGATATCAGCTGAAATTATTTGATGCCAACTGTGACAGCATCTATTCAGAATTTAAAAATTGAAAATAATAATAATTTTCATTTTTTTTAAAAATATTTCATATGTTATATTTTAAGATTTTATTTCCCAAGTTCTTCAAAAACAATTACAACAAGAGTCAATTATTAAATATTTCTATATGAAAATACTTTAATCGCTAATTAACACTTGAAGTAATTTTTCTATATCTTGATTTTCTCTGTAGACATTAATTCCATTGTTTATTTAGCATAGATGATTGGAAACTATTTCTCAAAATATATCGTCATATGCAACTGATAGTGTGTTTGTTATATTTAATAATATTGGAGTTATGTCTATTAGGAACTTTAAATTTTTAGGATATATGATGTTTTAAGTTATTTTTAATTCTTTCTCTTGATATATAAACTAATTAGTTTGCATCATTTAACTTATGACAAGCATTGTAAGTATAAAAAGATAAGTAACTTGATTTTAAATAAGATTTGAAGAAGAAATGGCCCATTTATACTTTCAACTTTGTGTATTGTATTAATGTTTTTTTCAATGCATATTTGCTTGATGAATATAATAATATTTTTAAGTATTTCTTATATAGAAGAGCATAAAACATCAAATATGATATACAGAAATAAAAATCAATTTAAATATATATTTTAGAATGAAATGTTAACTAATGCAAAGATTTATGTAAATACTATATAATAAAAATATAAATTGTTAACTTTAATATTACATCATTGAATGACATGATTCAGTTCCAATCTAAAAAAATAAAAGAAGATAATTCAATTTCTGGACTCTTAAGAGATCTTGAATACTCCATTGTTAAGATTCACACTTAAATGCAAATTCTCAACTACAGTACTTGTACTGTACATACTTATGTAAACATTTAATATAAATATAACCCAAGTAAATTAAATTGAAAACAAAAATAATTGATATGAAATAAATAAATGAAATAAACTTAATATTTTAAGTAACTAATATATTTGTTTTAACTAATATACTTATTAAAATATAAATTTCCTAAATTATGTATTAAATTATTTAAGTGTTAATTAATAAATGAATGCATCAAATTATTTATTAATATATTCTAAATAGAATAAAAGAAAGATTTAAAAATTAAATATTTATGTAATGTTCTTTTAAAAATAAAAAATAGAAAATATTTTCTGGCAAACAAAATATCTGGAATGAAATATAAATTTTAAAAGTTAAATGCAGTCCTTCAGAAAAATAATTACATCTCAAAATTGGATTTTG